AAAGGGTCTCTGGAACATGTGTGGCGAAATCCCTTAGGTCGCGAGTACTTCTAAAATTGTCCATCAAAGTACGCACTTCCTCTTCGTGTTCGCAGATAGACAACGATCACTTATATACAGACCCCGATGACCCACACGGAAGTAATGGTGTGCACCAGACGAAATTTTGTCACTCGTTACTCCCTCCCGACCGCACGAATTCCAAGGAATGCCGGACAATCGATATTTTGCAGCCCAAAACGGGTTAAATACATTAGAAATGAGAGGCATAATTACACGGTTGCAGTTGGGCCGCGCCTTCTGTGACGTACACAGCAATGTTTGATGAAATAGTACGGAAAATCCTCAAACAGAGTCAGTTTCCGACCAAACTTCCTTTCCCGTATCAGTTGTAATTGACGCGTAAACGTGGAAAAAATGCAAGTAACCCTTTGGAATTCACGGAAGTCCTCCAAGAATCCGTCCAGCGATCCACAGCAATGTTTTACCATCCGTTCAAAAACGACCGTTTCGTTGGTACGAGCGTAAAAGTGATCATCGGAATTCGGTCGCGGTATTTATACTTTCTGAACAAGGCCAATTAGGTTATTAAAAAAATTAAATTTTAACAAATCACTCGAAACAGCCAAAAACAAAATCTGTTCAATTTTGGCTAGAGTCGACATAGCTTTTCTAAAATACATTTAAAAAGCGGTCGTTTTTACAAATCCTAATAGTTGGGACGCCAGGCCACTACCGTAGTGACACCAGAGGAGATGCGCAAGGTTCTGCCGGAACTCAACGTAAACAAAGCACCAGGGCCAGACGGGATTCATCCAGCCATCCTTAAACCACTAGCGGAATGTCCTTTCTACACCCGTGAGCCTGCTCTACCAAGTTTCACTATCGGACGTAGTTCTACGTTGTGACTGGAAGATAACTACTGTGGTAGCGATTCACAAGTGTGGTCAGAAAAACGACATAAGAAACTATAGACCAGTGAGCTTAACCAGCATCCTCTGCAAGTGCATGGAGAAGCTGATTAGGGAGCATGTATGTCGACATCTACTGCGTTACACCCTACTAAGTGGGACTTGGCACTGAATGCGGCCAAGTTTCAACTATTGACCAAGCAAAATGATCCCTTGGTTGATGCCGGAACGTGAGGAGTGTTCGAAGTCAAACCGGTAGAAACTTCCAAGGATCTTGGGGTTGTAATGAATTCGAATTTCAGCTGGGGCAGCCAATGCGAAATCGCAGCTCGTAAGGCACGGGGAGAACTTCTCCAGCACAGATCTTCTCTTTCTTGGAGAAAACCGGAAATCTTCGTCCCGTTATACAATGCGATAGTAAGGCCTCATCTAGAATACTGGGCACCTCTGCACAAAAAAACGCTGCATGCCTGGAGAAAGTGCAGAGACTAGATACAAGAATTGTAGAGGGGCAGGAAGCGAATCATACCAGGAAAGATTAAGGGACCTCATTCTATTTTCGCCAGAAAAAAGGCGAATTAGAGGNTAGAGGAGACCTCAAAAAAGCGTTCAAAACTAAGAGGGGTTTCTCTGGGTTTCTTCTTGAGGAACTCTTCTCTGATGCTCCGTATGCTGTTACCAGGGGCCACGAGCACAAACTGATGAAGAAAAAAGTAGGTTAGGACTGAGGTTCAACTACTTCAGCAATAAAATAGTAAACAGGTGGAATAGACTACCTGAGGAACTAGTCAACCTGACTAGTATCCACGCNTTGGATAACAGGTGGTTAGAACTGTTTCCGAAAGAGGAGAACTGAACCGGAAGCGACCGTTAGGTTCATAACTTTTTTGTATGCAATATGGAACGCATTCACATCAAAAGTCTCTCACCGACACGGCGAGAAGTAAGGTCTCTTTCCCTCTGTTGGCAGAGAGGCGAAGAAACCGATCAATTAAAGAGGTGGGTGCACACTCTTGAGCACACCATCGAAGGAATCCTGGACGCTTGATTGGTCTGTGGCCACTACCAGTCCTGTGAAACCTAACCTAACCTGAAGTTACGGACTACTTTTCGCAGTGGCAGTGACTATACTTGAGTGCATACTACCAAAGGAATTCTGGACGATCGATTGGCCGTGGCCATTTTCTATCCTGTGCAAAATGAACTAATTTGACCTTATTGTTTTAGTCGTTAGCAGTTCAGGTTACGAAGGTTACCGTTGTTGCGGATTTTCAAACGACTTTCAAAATGATGCCTCCCAATGTTTCGCTCGTGAAGTACGACACACCAATTCTGGTTACCAAAAACTTAGACAAAAAGAATCCTAAGGTATGTTTTGAGCGGTACTCGTTGTATGTACCAGTCAAAACCATTGAAAGGAACCCAGCAATTTACCGACTGCTCGGCCGTACCCTGTCCACCTCCGAAAGGCAAACCGTGTGGAGGAACAGACGAAAAAATATCACAACAGACGGAGGAAATACTGAACTCAATTCTTCCACCCAGGTATGTTAGAATTATCAGGAGACCAACTGTTCCCGGAACATTAATATTCGTTTATCATCAGAGAATGGACTGAAAACGGACAACTGTGGATACAACATGTTTCAAGCACACCAGCTACTAGGCTGGACGTAGTTAATCTGCAAGAGGAGTTGGATAGACGCCTTCAACAAAGACAAGCACGGGAAACCGGAATTTGTCCTGTTCGACGGGAGCTTTACTATCAGGTAGCTAACGAACTTCATAGGACTTAATTAAAATCTTATAAGGTTTTTGATGAGTTGATAAGACAAGTCACGATAAATTGTGCCGAGCGAGGATTGCTGCTACTTAGAGTACGAGATGAGATTCGGATGACAATAGCCGCTTACCAAACGCTATATGAATCAAGTGTTGCATTCGGAATGCGAAAGGCACTACAAGCCGAGCAAGGTCGAGCGGATATGGAGCGGCAAGTAAGTGACAGTTCAATATACTCCGCTGTATGATGATGGCTTAAAATTACAGCTCAACCTAATTATAATCAATCCCAGGTAATCAAAATGCATGATGTATTTCAAATTCAAATCACACAACGCAGAAAGGATTCTCGTTCGGTTGATAAAGGCGGGTTCTGTCCGTGGACTGACTCGCCTGCGAGAGTGATTTTTCTTCCGACTCTCCACGAAGGGAGAATAGACAGAGAGACGGAGCAAAATCTGTTCCGTGCATTCCTTTGGTTAAATAAACAAACCCTGATCGCTAAGGCAGATATAGTAATAAGAGATGCCATGCATTGAGCTCTAGTTTTGATCTCTTCATTTCGAAACATTCAACTGGTTGAGGTGGTAGTGTGTTTCAGATAGGGTCTACTCTGTTTGCAGAGAAGTATCAATTTATTGCTAGCCTGCTCTTGGTTCTCTCAAGAGCACACTCGTGCCCTCGAAGTATGTTATTGACCCGCCAAGTGAAAAAAATGACCAGGGGGAGACTGCTCCATATTCCTGATGTTTAGGTACAATCCAATTAGATACTTCAAGAGAAGGCAGGTTTGAAGAGTTCAGTCTCTCCCGGTAGTTGATTACTTTTTGATCACAAACCAACCGGGTTGTGAGTCGCTGAACATATTCTAGGACGTAGATGTCCTTTTTGGGTTGAAGCCATTCTGTATAAACTGAACTAAACCGTTTTTCATGTTAGGTGTCCCTAACGAAAGCAAAGTCGTGTATGGTGGTTAAGTACTCGAAAGTAGCGATCATTCTACAGTGGATTATAATATAAATCTTCAAAAAATAGGGACCTGAAAACTTTGCTTTACATGGAGAAAAAAACAAAACCATTGTGATATAAAAATGGTCATGTGGCAAAGAAAAAAGAAGGAACTATTGACAGAACAGTGGCTGGATCAGAATCTAATACTGTATTCTAACTGTTTTCAATTATAGATTGCAGATTTGGAGCAAGATAAACGAGATCTGGAGCGACAAGTTCATGAGTTGAAAACAAAATGTGAACATATCGAAAAGCGAGCAGCAGAGCAAAGACAACTGGAGGAGAAGAAACACCAGGACGAGATACAGTTTCTCAAGAGAAATAATCAACAACTCAAGGTATCGATTATTAACTATTGCAACTATTCAAACTTAGTTCAAAATAGAATTAGGATTACATAATAATTCATAGTGACTCATAAGACTTTTGTAAGGAGTATCAAAAATAATTAACTGCAGCTAAATCATCAAAAGATCATCATTAAACCTCTGCCAAAGAACTAATTATAAAAAATAATGAGCAGTGTTAAGAGCGGAAGATTACTGCAGTTTAGATGATATTGTTTTGATCATATATATTCAATGCCACTTTAACCTAGCTCGCCAAGTGGTTTACTGGAACATGTTCCCTTCCAAACAGAGGAGTGGTTTATTGAGCACACAAAAAGAGCAGTGTCAGATGAAGTCCGGTACACTGCAGACATTCTCAAAGAGGATAGTTTCAATTTTTATAACTAGTGATTGCACCTTATTTCGCCGGTTTTGGTTGCAAGAACAGTGAGTAGACGCACCAACGTCACTGCCTTTGACACCCAGCCATATCACTCAAAGTATCTAACCACCGGCCACGAGGATTTCGAGAACCTAGTATGACCCATATAACCAAGTACCCTGGTTAGTGATTTCATACCCTCATGCCAAGTCTTACTTTGAATACCCACGTTTTCTTTCTACTTATTATCTACCTCGCACGCACCATAGCAATCGATTTGGTGAAATGCGTACCACCACACACCCATTCAGCGAAATCTATGAAGAGTGATCATTTTTTCCAATTCAAGACTGGAAATACCTAAAACTCTGCGTCAAATCTTGCTCAGTTTCGTGCATCTTATCAACTTCTCTGCAAAATTAGTGCAATAAAATTATAACTTTTCTCTTTGATCATACTTTCAACCTTTTGTGCTTACTCCTCCGGTCTTTCTTTCTCATGGTCATCCGAATGAGCAGCCAAGAGACAGCAACCAATACCAGCGCACGATAGTGTATGGTTGTACAAACTGAACTGAGCTAAGCCACTTTCACCACCACACTCGTGCAACGCGGCGTAGACCGCGGTGTTCGAACATCAACAGCCCATTTTATTCTGTTCCTGTAATGACCAAATCTTCGCACCATAAAGCAGCACTGGCCGAAATGCCGCAGAAAAAACGCGACCCTTTACATACAACCGTATGTCGTGATGGTGTCACAAATTTCTCAAGTTGGTAATTATTAATCCAGCCTTCTGTAGGCGTGCCGACACTTCATCCGTGACACGTCTACCAGGTGAAATGTAGCTATGCAGACAGTAATCTCTTCCAACCTCTTCTACTGTTTTCCCAGTTGGAATGATGGGGCCTGGGCCATGCCAAACTTGCAGCAAGACTTTGCACTTTGAAGGTGCAAAACGTATATCGAACGTGGCCAGACTAGAAATCAAACTATCCAAAACGACTTCAACTTAGCAGCAAAATGTCGCCTGCATACTCCAGATCACAGTCTACCACCCGGGAGCAACTCGATGCCGTCACTCGTGCACGAGGATAGGAAAGTCGCCAGAATCAAATTTATAACAAAGTTTATTAGAAAAGAAACTGTGATGAACACCCGTTTCCGTAGTTAACTCGGGACTCCATTCCATTTTTAGCGTTTTATTACATATGAGGACCAGTAGAGAAGTAGTTCAGACGAAAAGAAGTATTCATTGATGCGCTATGTGAACCGGCAATCTCAACGGTGAAAATCAGAGTACCCAATCACACAAGATATGATGGATGTGTTAATACTAGTCCGTTTGAGCTGATATCCCTCGGGATCTTCTTCACTTCTTTGGCCTCCATTTTTTGCTAAACTAACTTGTGGCTCCTGGAAGCCGAGACGTCGGCCACAGAACACACTCCGGAGCAACGCTCGACAGGCGGAATAAAAAAGATTTAATGTAGCCGAGTTATAAAATTCTGCATAACCGGATGAAAGGCATTCGATGGCAGTCACTCCCTAGTAGAGAGACGAGATATTTTGCTTGATACAGCAAGCAGAATGCACAGGTTCCTGTTTGGTTCACACATCTTTTGTGTGATGAACAGCGGACGGGATGCAATCCATGGTGGCGAAGACCTGTGGTTCACTGATGGAAACCAGCAACCCAAACCCTGGGATTTGAAGCGGCGAATCACATAAAGCCCCGTTAGGTTTGGCCTACCACAGACAAAAAAGCTTTTGGTGAGATCCCAGTAACCACGCACCAAGACACTGCTGCGTTATACCACGCAAATGGTTGTGCACATGACAGATATAAACCTTCGAAAAGGACAGGATAAGGCTGGAGGCGGCTCCTATATCAAACCTTTTACAAAACATTATGATCTTCACGAAGTAAGTTTATCCTATCCAGAGAATCAATTGAAGTACAGAAGAAATAGATAAGGCTGTTACAGGACATGCGTAACCCCCAAACAGAAGACCGCAAGGTTACTAAAAGCGGCTGAGAATTGAAAAAAGCCAAAGGAACGAATGTAAATAAAAATCCTCCGAAGGAGTGAGGATGTATGAATATTTGAGCGCTCTGAACGGACACGGAGTAGATAAACAAGACAGCAAAATCAAGGCATAGAAAAACGATCGGAAAGATGATGTTTGTGAAAAGGTAACACAAATAACATAACGTCAAAATATAGTTCAATGTCTACGAGGAAACGTTTTCAGTTCATATGAGGTAGTTTGAGAAACGCGAGGGCAGATAGTGTAGGATGCTGTCGGTTCGATAGCGCCATTTCACAGAGAAGCAAAAAATAACTAAAATATTATTTTCGACCATATTATCGTTACGGTTTCCCTCCACATCGTTGACCATCTATATTCACGACAATTGCTAATGTTCGTTTTCACACATTCGTTGAGCTGAGCACGTTTTGCTCCCCAACGTTTTCTCATCGCCCAATATGGTATGCTCTACTCGTGTGGTGTTCTGGTTATGCCATTGCAATTCCGTTCGTTCTTCCTTTTCCGTGGTGAATGAGTCTATTATCCCAATCATTTCCGTTCAAGTTCACCGTTGAACTAGCATAAAGAAGTAGTTTTCCTGTCTTGGTCCCCGGTTGATCCATAACGTAACCTAGTTTGTCGCATCATTTGATTCTTGGTTTATATTAACGAGTAAAACAACAGTAACTTACGGAGGATAAGCACTCGCATCAATGCCTGAACTCGAAAACCTAATAATCCTGACCTTACCATGGGTGGTAATGACAAGTTAGTGACCAAGGTAATCATCCCAGTAAACAGGTCAAAAAGAGTTCAGTCTGCTGAGGATGTGCGAACCGATGGCCATTATTCCGTACATTTTTAACGCCAACAATTTTGAAACAACCTACTTTATACCCTGTTTCGAAAAGTTGTCAAAGGCACAATCTCTGTTAATCAAATCGTCAAGCTGATTTACAACTTTTCGGAACTCTTCTTTTTCAGGCTCAGCTGGACGGAATCATGAATCCAAAGAAATAATCACCCAACTTTGACGAGATTCGATCAACAATATCCCTTAACTGTCTACACTTGTCATCTGACCTCGTTCTGTAAGGACAAAAACAAACGTTCGATAATTCATTTGGATGAACAAGTGAATACAGATCACTTACTGGAACACGTGTTACAATAAATGAGGCAGACTGCTATTTTCATGATGAGTTTATTTTGACAAAGGTTTGAATTATCATGATTTGTGTGAGATCAAGTTCCAGGCCTTTTGTGTCACTATTATTATTCATACGTTTCGAACATAAGTTAACACTCAATGCTAGCGAGAACCAACTAGCTAAAACGGGTTTTCTTCCATTGATCTTCATCTCAAACCTCATCAGCATCAGAACCACAGTACGAGAATAATGAGAGGGAATGGCATTCAGGTGGAAAACTATACCATAACGAATTGAGTGCATCCCTTCGAACGAGAAATAGAGCTTGAAAACAGTGCTCGCGGACGGGTATGGAATTCGAGGCATAATAACGAGTGAATTACACAAAATAACCGACTTTTAGCGGCGCCTCCCAAAGAACACTTTAGAGACCAGAAACTTTGTTTCTCAGATGTTTACCATCTGGTGACTCAAGGTCCCGCAGTCGGTTCGCTGCTGCTCGTGATCTGCATTGGCGATTGGTCGCACTGCTCATTCCCTTGTACACTAATTAAATTAAGATCTTGCGAGTGCTGCGGGTTGCAACCTGTAGCAGATCGATTTGAGCATGCTGCCATTCTGGTTATCGATGCAAACTGTAATTTCCTGCATCAAAGACATTCTAATTCAGTGGTAAACAGCTATTTTGGACAGAACAACGGGTAAAAAGGACACAACAGTCCGAATATGCTCACTGAAAACCCGTGAAAACGTTGAGAAGGTCTGTGTCTCAGCGTGAAACATTTTAGAAGCTAAATGGAGATACTTTCAACAGCTATTCACGAACGCCTTTATAAAACATATCGGATCATGATTTGAGTGGGGCGACAGAGCGAATATGCTTCGGCATGGAGGTCGAGTTCACCGAGTAGAAGCGCGAGCAAAGCACCAATGCAGAATTTCCAGTCAGTCGATCTGTCGCGGAAACCGACAAACTTCCGAAGTTGGCTTCCAATACCAATGCTGCATTCAAGTACGTGTGATTCATCTTTCACTTTGATGTTGAAGAGACTCATGAGGGTTTCCTGCTCTTAACCATCAACAGTGTACGACTCAATTAGTAGAATAGATGAAGCGACTAGGCAGTAGTATTTCAAGCTTTTGATCGCATTTTGGATAAAGTTACGTGTATAGGGAAGTTTGCGAACAGGAAAAACCGACAATTTCGAGGCGAAACCTGCGCAAGTTGGAACAACCTAGTCAGTCTAAAAACCGTTAGAAATGCTACTGGATGATACAGGAGAAACGCAGATATTTAAGCACGGAAGCCCCGGGACAGCTATATGGAAATCGAAAAAGGTTTCTCAAGAAAGGCAAAGCACAATGCCGCATTCCGATCAGATCGGGTCAAATAACTCTGGTTTACAGGCCTACAGTGTGTTTCGATCAAAAACCATAGTTTCCCTGCACCCAGCCGGATTGAAAGTATAGTTACACTGTTAATTGAGAAAGCTGTGTTTGCTGATGAGTCATCGTGATCGACCACTTTGCAATCTCACAGGCCATTGTGTTGGCCAGTTTGTGGGTGCGTGTACTGATGTGCAATAAAGGAAAGACTCGATTACAAAATGGGCTTTTGAGATTTCAGTTCTCGGGGTTAACGGAACCAATAGCCCCGGTTTCAGTTTAAACGACCATTAAGCATGCACTTCCGTGCGTCGCTTTTGGTTGCCCATTTGGATGAACATTAGGAGGAAAACAGAAAGGTTGAAAGTAGGATCTAAGAGAAAATTGAGAAGTTCAGTGGACTAATGATGCAAGGAAATTCAGAAGATGCATGAACGCCACTGGTTACGACACTTAGTTCTGTCCAATACTGGTAAAATCCACGGTCCCAAGGAAATCTTACAAATGTCTGTGTTGGAGTCAGCGAACAGATAACCACGCGCACACAGGAAATGGAGAAAGAGGCAGGGGCGTATGCGCATGTGCATCTGAGCTAGGTTCAAGTTACCAGACAACCTAGTGATTAAATTACTGTATCTGAAGTAACATAGTGGAATGCAATTTAGGATTAAATTCTTTCGATGTTCAGAAAATGTATTCAAATTGGTAAGTTCTTTTTATATGCAAGAATACATATTATGCTCAGTCATTTGACGGCTTGTTACCCAACAAATGCTNTCAGAAAGTCCTACTCACTGCCATCTCGTAGCGGAGGTGTTTTCCCACCAAAATTGGAGGACTTAAAGCCAATATCCGGGTGGGTGAACCACTAGGAAAGTTGGATAATGATAATAATTATATATATATATATACATATATATATATATAACACCTTGATGAACTCTGATGAAAGTGGCGCAAATAGACCTGGCGTTATCTGGTTGGTTGCTTTTCATTCACCCAAGCCACCATATAACTTAATATCACACTGCTGAGTCACAGGATAGTAAACATGGTAGGCCTCAGGCACTGTTAAACAACGGCTAGCATCATTTAGTCAAAAAAGGAACCGTAAA